AGGCCCAGGCCTGGGCCCGTTTGGGACTGGTCCAAAATGGGACCAGTCGCTCATGGGCCTGGGATCAAACTATAGCTGGGCAAGGACAGGTCCCAAGCAAGCCCAGGCTTGGGCCCGTTTGGGACTGGTCCAAAATGGGACCAATCGCTCATGGTCCCAGGCCCATGAGAAACTCTAAGACTCAGACCGGTCCTTAGGACTGGTCCTATGGGTCCAGGACCAGTCCTAGGACCAGTCTTATGGGCCTGAAAAATTTATTTTTCCCCCCTCGATTTTTTTTTATATTTTGGGGGCAAAACAAAAATTTGTAGGGGGTTTTTAGTATTTTTTAGGGGTAAAATTTATAAATTTTATAAATTTTTTAGGCTTGGAAGATTTTTTCTTTAATAAATTTTATAAAATTTCCTTTTAACCCCTATAATTTTTGTTTATTTTAAAATTTATAGGAGGTTTTATGCAATTATACAAGGGACTAAAACGAAAATGTGTAAAAAAAATTGGGCCCAAGCCTGGGCCCTCTTCCTTAGGCCTGGTCCCGTTTTGGGACCAGGCCTCCTAGGACTGGGTTTTGGGCCCAGTCCCAAATGCCCACCTCTATTTCAAACTATGATAAAAAGTGCCAAAAATGTAATTCTAATAATAAATTTAGAAATATGGGTTGTAAAAACAAATCAACCTTTATCTTCAACACAATTTTCTGGAACAAACCAGAGAGAATTGATGCAAAGATCATGGACAAATCGTGTGTTACATTGTTGCCATAGTCCCAACATAGTTGTCGCATTTTCAAGTCATTTATTCTGATTTTCGATTTACTAATTAGCAACATGTCATCTACATAAAGCAGTAAATACACAGGCATACCAAAATCTAAATCATATAAAAGCAACTGTCATACTCACTTCTTTTGAATCCTGTACTAGTAATGAAGGTGTCAAACCTTTATACCATTGTATAGGGGCTTGTTTAAGCCCATACAAAGATTTGTGTAATAGGCAAACACGTTCAGGACAGTTTTTGTCAATAAAACCCATAGGCTGTTTCATGAAGATTTTTTCATCTAGATTACCATGCAGGAAATCAGTTTTTACATCTAATTGTTCTAGTTCTAGGTCTAGATGTGCAACTATAGATAGCATGATCCTAATGGTTTTATATTTGACTGCAGGGGAGAAGATTTCATTGAAATCAATCCCTTCCCTTTGGGTGTAGCCTTTTGCTACAAGCCTAGCTTTAAATCTAGGAGGATCAGTAGAAGTCATACCTTCCTTTACCTTATACAACCATCGGCAGTCAATAAGCTTCTGATTTTTAGGACAGGGTACAAGGGACCAAGTCCCATTTACCTTCAAGGAGTGCATCTCCTCTTCCATGGCAGCTTGCCATTTCTTCCTATCTTTGGACCTTATTGCTTCATCGTAGCTGTCTGGTTCAGTTCTCTGAATTTCAGCACCTGTAACCAACGCTGTAAACACTAAGTCAACAAATGAGTATCTTGCAGGAGGTCTGATTTCTCTCCTGGTTCTGTCTCTGGTGAGTTGGTATTGTGCCAGTGACTCTTGTTGGGGCTGATCTGAAATTTCAGTTTGATCATCCTCTGATTCATGTTCCAGATCTGAAGTTGTAGGTGTTTGCTCTTGGTTTTCCAGTTCAGTTTGAACTTTGACCTGCTCCACCTCAATTTGTGTCCCATTATACTGATCTTGACTAATTTCCTCAGTGGTAGAGGTACCTGCAGGATTATTAGAGATTCTACAAGGAAAAAGATTTTCGTTAAAAATAACATCTCTACTTATAATGACTTTTACCCCAATGCCTCTCTTTCCCACAACCTGTACCCTTTAGTCCCCTCTTGGTAACCTAAGAATATGCATCTCAAAGACCTAGGTTCTAATTTTCCCTCACTGGTGTGTGCATAAGCAGCACATCCAAAAGCTCTAAGGTGACCTAGGTTGGGCTTCCTATTAGTCCACTTTTCTTTTGGGCATGTGAAATTAATGGCACTAGAAGGACTCCTATTAACTAAATAAGCTGCAGTATTAAGGGCCTCACCCCAGAAGGATTTTGGTAAACCTGATGTGAACAGTAGACATCTAATCTTTTCTAACAAAGTCCTGTTCATTCTCTCAGCAACTCCATTCTGTTGTGGAGTCTTCCTCACAGTCCTATGTCTAAGTATCCCTTGATCACTACAGAATTGGTCAAACTCACTATTACAGAATTCTAGGCCGTTGTCAGTTTTGAGAGCTTTAACTCTCTTATCAGTTTGGTTCTCTAATAATGTTTTCCAACTCTTAAACCTAGCAAGAGCCTCATCTTTGGTCTTAAGCAGATAAACCCAAACTTTTCTGCTATAGTCATCAACTATAGACAGGAAGTAACTGCTTCCCCCATGTGTTTTGGTTTTTTCAGGCCCCCACAAATCAGCATGAAGATATTCTAGGTTATTGGTGGCCAGGTGAGTTCCTTTCTGGAAGCTCACCCTATGTTGTTTATCTAATATGCATGTCTCACAAAAATTTAAAGAGTCAATAGAATCCTTACCAAACATACCTTGCTGGCTCAAAATGTTGAGTCCTTTCTGACTCATGTGACCCATTCTGAGGTGCCATTTTTCTGTAACAGTGAGGTTAATAGTGAACAAAGCAGAATTAACATAATTTGAACAGTAATTACCACACAGGATGTAGAGGCCATTTGGTTTGACACCTTTTAGAAATAAGTTCTTATTTTTATACACATTTAGGCAACCATCTTCAGCCTTATAGCAGCAACCTAATTCATCTAATGTGCCTAGGGAAATCAAGTTTCTTTTCAGTTCTGGTATATATCTCACTCTAGTTAATTTGACAGATATACCATTATCAAGACTTAGGACTATACTCCCAATCCCTTGAACCTTGCAGGCATTATTATTTCCCATGTAAATTGTCTCTAACTCACCAGCTTCAAACTCCTAAAACCACTCCCTATTGGGGCTCATATGAAATGAGCACCCAGAGTCTAATGCCCATTCTTTTACTTTTTCAGACCTAGATACAGTCAAGACTTCAGATTCTTGGATATCAGTTTTACTAGAGTCCAAATTGCTCTCTGTACTATTCTGTTTTTGTTTCCTGATCCACTCATAACAGTTTTTCTTCAGGTGACCAATCTTGTTACAGAAGAAACATTTCCTTGTTTCTCCTTTTCCCTTATGAGTATTCTTGTTTTTCTTTTTATTTCTAGAACCATTATTAAACTAAGAATTACCCCCAGACTACCTAGAATCTCCCTTTCCTTTCACAAACAGACTACTGTTATTTTTCTTCTGGACCCTAAGCTTTAGTTCTCTAGCCTTCAAACCTGATGTAATTAGGTCTATACTAGGGACAGTTCCAGTGTACAACAGGGCATTCTTGACAACCTGATATTCTTCAGTAATAGAATTTAAAAGAACATGGCTAAACTAGACTCATTGAGTTCTTGATCAGTGCCCTTGAGTACAAGGGTCATTTTCAAGAACTCATCTAGGTTCTCTTCTATGGTCCTAGCACTATCCATCTTATATGAAAACAGTATACCTTTCAAATAAGCAAGATTAGGGGTAGACTGAACTGCATAGAGTGATTCTAGCTTACCCTAGAGAGTTAACAGTGTCTTAGCACCATCTCCTTTTCGCAGCATGTTGTCGGCCAGATTCATGACGATGAGATTGTACGCCTCCTCATCAATTTCGGCTTTCCTTTTCAGCTTTTCCTCGGGCCATTTGGTATGATCCTTCTCCAGTGTGACTGCCACTTTATTATGTGACAAGAGTGCCTTCATTTTCTTCTTCCATGTGTTAAAATCAACTTTGCCATCATAGTGTGTGATTTCAACCCGTGTGGTACTCATTATGTGTAACTGATGGTAATGGTGTTTGGTAATTTTAACAGACAGATTTGAAGAACAAGGGTTTCACTCGAATTTGTGGTTATCACAAGAAATTAAGGGCTAAGTTTCGAAGATTTCCTAACTCTAGACCTCACTGAATCTTGAAATCAAGAAACTCCTAAAATTTTTCAAACCCTAATTTCAACAGTAAACCCTAAATTTGACGAACCCTAAATTGATGGCTCTGATACCACTATAGAGTTAATCTGCACTTCTAACACTAAAAAAATCCACCAATTTCACACTCAACACACACAAACGAAAAATGTAAAGAAGTCAAGAATAAAGACACGGATTTTTACTGTGGTTTGCTTATCCTATATAGGATAAACTACATCCACGTTGAGCTCAAGAAACCCAAGAGCTCACTGCACTAAATATCAATACAACCTGATACAAACAAATTCTACACCCCAAACTCACTCTTAAACAGGGTATCTCTCTCTCACAATAACCTAGAATCTTTCCTATGAGAACTCTAAATAGATCCTCAAGACTCAAAGGGAAACGGAGCCCTTACAAGTGATTACAACCAACCACACAAAGATTACAGTCAAGCAAGAAACGATACAGAGCAGAACCTTTTTTACACAGAATACACGAACTGAAAAATAAACTCCAACGAGCAGACTAAAATGCAGCAGCAAGGTGAAGTCGTTTTTTCATTCTGTTTTGGGGAGAGTAGATCCTGGCCGTTAGATGTTAATGTCCTTCAATGGTCTGGATTTTGTCTTTGTGATGACAAGAATAAAACGACAGCGTTGCACTAAAGGTACAACGACATCGTTTTTGTGTGATTCACTCTAACAATAATCAATACATTCTCAGGTTGTCAGATCAGCATCCTTAAAATGGAATGTCATTGAAGGAAACTGTTTAAAATCCCTTGGAAACCTATAACAAAGTTGCAAATGGAGGAGGGCATGTGGTTCATTCGAGCTGATCAAATCGATCAAAATAGTATTTAAACTCCATATGCAACTTCCAGTAGTCATCTTGATGGATATAGGTGAGAACAGTTCCGAAATCAATCAAGCATTCGCCATCGCCATTGGGGTCAAAATCAAAGGTGTGAGGAGGATCATTCAAACGTTTGTTATTGATGCAAGTAAATTTAAGTAGTAATTATCACTCGTAGAGTGATTTACAGAAGGGGTTGTCTGAACTTGGCCTCCGCGATAGCCCATGTCAATGCCAAACTTCAGAAACCCCACAGACATGTATCCTCCTTCAGGTTGAGGATCAAAAAAGCAATAGGAGAAGCGAGATTCAATAAAACTACCGATTTGTTGTATCAGAGAACTTTGGCCATGACCGAATCCCAATATCCCGGAAACACGATCGAATTGGCTTCCAGGGAAGCCTTTGCTGGCAAATGAACAACCGAATGACACATCATGAATGGTTGTAACAAGTGCATATTGTGACACAAATGTGAAACTCTCCCAAGAGGCAACACCATAAGTTGAGGATCCGTCCTTGCAATTGACGTTATAGAAACATTGGTTATTGACGCAGTTAAAGAGATGACAAAGAGGATTATCACAGGCGATCAAAAATGGTGAAGCTTTGGTGGAAACAGGATTGGCATTTGTTGGCACTGTGTCCAAGCAAGGTCAGGGCCAATGCCTAGTTGCACCAGCTAGAAGAAATGGTCAAAGAAAACATCAGGGTGCATCAATTCAGAGCGCGGAGTTTTTCCATTTTTTGGTAAGGGAAGAAAGATATTGAACCCTGGATTGCGACATGTTGGAGTACCTTGAACTCTTTCATGGAAAGTGAGGTTTCCAGGATATAAAGGGGATTCTATGGAGTCTCTGGGAATGAGTTTTATACTGAAACTTGAGGAAGTTCAGGAAGAGTAGTGATGGTAAGCAAAAAAAAGGGGCAGAAAAACTACAAAAGCTTGGAATGGATCCGTGCTTACAAATGAACAGCTGAGATAGCTACGCAGATTATGCTTATATTAACATTGGCATAACATTGAGTCAACAGAAGATTAGAGTTCAATCGAGATCAGTTTTTTACCACACTTAATGTTACCAAACTAAAGCCAAAGCAACTGCTTAGTCTGATCCATACATTAGTTAGTCATTCACTCCTGCTCAGCACCTGAAGAAAGTCCACCCTTTCCAGGATAATTTCAACTTCCTAAGAATTACTAGATGGTATGGAGTTACTGTGACATAGAACCAATCATCGCAATTTTGTCGAATAAACGAGAGTGCATTGTGCTGTGCTTTTTACACATTCCATAAAACAAATCCTAAACAGTGAACTTGTAACCTGTGAAAAATTGTTTATACTCCATTATGAAATACTATCGGAGTATAATAATTATGCTAAAGCAGCTCATATATAGAAGAGAACACAAGAGTAATTGATTTAATAACTACCTACAGTACTAGTGCATTAACCGCCAAAACAATACACCAAGGAAAATTTGAGACATCTCTGATATCTTCCGCCATCTCGTCTCACCATTGCTCACTACTTAACTCTCTTGTTTAATCATAAAAAATAACTTGATACTAATAATTTAGTATATGAATAGCAGTAGAAATGTCTATGCCTATGAATCTGCAAACATGCTATAGAGGAGAAACCAAAGTCACAAGATGGTTCAAACCTAGAACACAGCATCAATCTGCTGGTCTCTTAAATGGAGGATATGAGCACAAAAAGATTTCATGGATCTTGGTAGTGTAGAACTCTGTATTTAAACACAACCTGTAAGCAGTAAACTCCCGACAATATAGCTAACCATCTTACATGGCAACATCTGGGTCCAATCTTCTCTGAATAGCAGCTGCAGCCTGCATAAACATATTGGCAATACATCAACGATTTGCAAGAGATTGATTGATACAATGAGTGTTGAAGAGAAATCAAACATCACTTCCTCACCTCAAAGTTGCCAAGTTTGTATTGATAAGCCATCTCTTCCCTGAGCTGAGCTTGCTCTTTCATTGCTTGTGCCTTAAAATTCAAACATTGAATAGATAAGAAAGCAAAATTTTCATAGAATTTAAAGGTTTAAAAAATGAAAATAAAATTAGATTGAGATAAAAAATGCTAACCATTCCACTCTGCATAGAGCGCTTTAAAGCTTCCACCTCTTCTTCCTTTTGCTTTTCACGAGCTTGCTGCAATTCCAATCTGAAAGAGAAGAAAATTATTACCAAATGAGATGATGCAACAGTTTTAATGAGTGTGGATTGTCCTCTCATTGCAATTTTGGCATGTTAAAACCATGTGGGTTAAGAGCCCAAAACCAGAAAATTGTAGCTAGTTAAGGAAACACAACCTCGGATTCGTAAGTTGAATTTAACCTTTTATGTCACAGCATGCATGATTATGATTAAATGGAACAATTTTCTGCTCAATCCTGACCAGATAAGTAATTTGCCCATTGAGACAAACAGTAGGAAAACAAAAAATGCTCAAAAAAGCATCAGAACAAAGTTTCAGAATCAGATCACATACTTGTTAGCACAATGCAAAACCTGAAAACATATTTTGAGAATTGTCCCAATTTAGAGACACACTGCGGCAGAATTAAAACAGATAACCAAAATGGCATTTCAAAGATATTAAGTGGATTCACCATAATGATTACTTCAGTATAGTATCAACGATTCACAATTGCTTCCAAAATGTATACATATGGAATGTTCAATGCAAGAGTTCAGTTCAGATGAGAGATATATTCAAGAAAATACTGCATTAAGTTGAAGCTACCGATTCATACAGTTAAAACTGCTTTTTAATTAAAAAGACATACTAATAGTCCATGGATTAATGACAAAACTGATTAGGAAGATGATTTCAACTTCAGAAAAAATCAAATGTTAGCAAGCACCATAACATACCGACGCTGTTCTTCATCATTGAATATAGTACGTTCCTTTTGTGAGACCTTTTTAAAACCCTTCATGAATTCTTTTTCCATTTGGCGTTTGTGATAAGCATCAAGGTTATAATACCTGCCACCATGCAAACACAACCAAACATGACAAGATTAATTCAAAATTACCAAACTGATTTTTATTCATCTTCTTGATAGCATATTATGAGAAAACAATTTATGTAAACAAAATAACAGACCCCAAATCCCCAAAAAGAGAATGTGTATCTTCTAACTTCAATCTTACAATAAATCAAAACCAACAAGGTAACGGATTTATCACATGGAGAAACTTTTTTAATCAAATTTTCCATCTGTGTTGAGAACCTACATAATACAAACACCAAAAAACACCCCTAAAAGCAAATAAAAAAGTTTAAAAATTTTAATTTACATTGAAAATATTTAATGTTTCTAATACAGCACAATGAAATGAATGAAGAAAAAGAAACAGATCAGCAAAGAGCCTTACTTTTTGGAAGGAAAGGTAGCTGTGTTGTGATCCTCCATGAATCTGTAAAATTAATTAATTGAGAACTGCTGAACATAATTTCGATATCATTTTTGAGAATTAAACTGAAAACAATCAACAAATAGTTTTCATACTTACTGTTTGAACATTTGCTTCTCTTCCCAGTTCGGCAAACTTTCCAGGTTCACCTGCAACAGAAAATTATCCAAACAATTACAATACATTCGAGCTCTTTTAAACTATTAGCTGAACTTGAAAATTGACTGATGGAGACAACAGATTAAACTTAGTTTTTCTACCTATTTCAGGAACAAGAAGAAAAGCAAATAAAAAAAAAAAATGAAAATGAAAATTACAATTACAATTACAATAGCTATAAAACAAAAAGGGACTTGAAGATCTCCATTATGCAGTAACCATGCAATTTTATTTTTTCTTTTTAAACTTTCTATAACTAACATCTCCCCTCTGCAATTGTTTGCCTAACCCCTAATGATAAACAAAACAAGAATTGATAATGTATTCAGCAAGTTTGCATGGGTATTAAAAGAGTAAAGTTGAAATACCTGTCTCACTTCTGCTAGCCATGCTGTGAACTCAGGCCTCTTATTCCTACAAAACACATATTTTTTTTCCCACAGAACCTCATTAAGATATAAAAACAGAAACTTTTACATGAAATTAACAATAAAAAACTGCAGTCTACACGTGAAACAGATAATGATTTCAAAGCTATTTCCATTAGAAAACAAAAAACATAAACTCATTCAACCTGAAACCAACATAAAAACACTTCCGTTTCAACTTCCTATGCAAAAAAACAGAGCCAAAAAAGAACCAAATTTTCAAAGATACAGTATTGGAGAGTTAAAAGCATTACCACATATCTGTTTCTCTGATAATTCCATATTTGCCCCAAGAATTCGTTACAGCTCCTCTCTTACCTCTCTCCAGCTTCTCCTTCTTTTTCTTCTTTCTCTTCTCTTTCTTTTCTTTCTCTCTCTTCCTCTTTTCTTTCTCTCTCTTCCTTCGTTTCCTTTCTCTCTCCTCTTCCTTTTCTCTTCTTCTCTTCCTCTCCTTTCTCTTCCTTCTCCTCTTCTCCTCTTCGCTCTCCGACTCCGGCTGAGATTCCGACTCCGACTCCGAGTACTCGGACGAGGAAGAAGAATATTCTGACTCTGAATCTGAATCTTCGTCGCTTCTGCTACGGCGTCGTTTTCCTGATTTCCGCTTTCGTTTATCGATTTTTACGTGTTTTCTGTCACCTTCGGATTCTGAATCGGAACTTTCTCGCGACTTGTATTTCGATTTCATCTTCGATGGTGGAACTTCGTCGTCTCCTTCGTGAGTGTCGTCTCGATCTCTGGCCATTTTGGTTCAGATAGACTAAAGAGAGGGAAGGAAAGTGAAAGACGATTATAGTTTATGGTGAGACTTTGTCACTTATTTGGTTGCAGGCCCAACTTAAGCCCAAGACGAAACCCACTAAGAAATTTTCTCACATTTGTGAAAATAAACAAGCATTCAAAATATATTTTTAATTAGCATTTTTCCTCTTTCCCCTGCTAATTAGTTTTGATATTATTTTAGCAAAACTGGAAGATAAAAGGAGGATTTTTTTTTTTTTTTTAATGACAGGAAGTGTCCAAATCAGTTTATATGCACCTCAACTAATCTTCTGAAACCTGAAACTACTGGTCGATAAGAGTTTCAATGACGACAATATTAGCAAAAGGAGGAATTAATTATTATTACAATGAGTCCAAACAGTCAAATGAAAAGGAGGGAAAATAACAATATACTTAAAACAATAGTTACATGCTGTGAAGCAATCATCTTATACCAGGGCCAAGACTCATTTTGGAATACTTTCTCTGACTCTACAAACATTCATATTATCAGAATTGCTAGCATTGAGTTTATGATTTACTTCAGCTTAAAAACATCAACATGCCGAAATTAGGGAGAAAAACCTATTGAAACATTAGCCTATTGCTATCTTCAACTAAGGAGCGACTTAGTTTCCTCATCTTCAGTTATGTTTTCAGCTTTCATACTCTCCAAAAGCCCATCCACTTCTTTCCCACTTCTGGTATACGCCTTAATCAATACGTGGAACATTTCCCTGCTTTTCGGAACCTTATTTTTCAATGAGCTAATGAAAGCTTCAACATCGTCAGCATCACCGATATCACCAAGCCAGCTCAATATGCTAGAAATCAACAAAGGTTTGGGTCTCCACCGTATATTTTCTTCTTGTACAGCCAGGGCTTCTTTTATGCACTCAAAAGCCTTTTCCATATTCTGCTTATCAAGATATCCGGCCGCAACAATAGACCAACTATTTGGAGTTGGAGTCTTCCCTTTTTTGACTATGTCTCTTAGCATTGCTTCAGCATTCTCGATCAATCCCCTCTGAGAATACCCAAAAAGGAGAACATTTGGCACTCGGAAATCATAGGTTTCACAAGATGATTCCCACTCCTCGAACAATTTTTTAGATTCTTCGAGTTCACCAATCCTCACTAGAGAACCCAACATGGTTATATAATCCCTATTGATCTGCTTCTTAGAATTTCTTTTCTGGAGACCCCAAAACCTCATCATCTCATCTTTATTTCCAAGAGTTGCGTACATTGAGATAAGATTATTATAGCCTACAGCATCTTTAGATACCTTCTCTTCACATTTTTTAAGATAGATTAATGCTTTCTCTTTAAGACCCGCTTTGATATAGACACTGGCCACCGTGGAATATGTAAGCCAGTCCATGGTGATATGAGGTTGGTTCTCCATCTCTTCTAAAATATGCTCCATGCTGCCAATATCAGACCTTGCTCCATAAGCATGCATGCAAATTCTATAGCTGAAGTTGTCGGGGGAGACACCGTTTTGTTTCATATCTGACAGCACATCAGGGATCTTCTCAAATTGGCCAGTATGGTTGTACAGGCACATGAGACTGTTATAACTGAGAGCAGAGGAAGCAAAACCCAGATCCTTCATCTTCTGCAGATGGGCGAGAGACTTGTCAACAAGGCCTTCTCGGACATAACAATTTAAAAGAGCACCATAAACTTTGTCTATTTTATCTTCATCATTTAAACTATTGAAGTAACTTTCTGCCGCCTCTAGCCCTTGAACTCTACCAATCAAATCCAACTGCACAGCACGCTCACCAACTGAAAATGGTAGGCCCTTGCTGCTCATCCACTCAGAAACCTGCATCAATGAAGACAAAGGCTATATGAACAAATGTGTCCCTTAAACCTTCACATAACAAATCAGTATTTGGGATCCCAGCACAAAAAACACAGTCAGTATCTGAGTACTGTATAGATAACAACAAAATCTATATATCCAAACACATTTAACAAATTGTTATTCCATCAACACAAAAGTACTTCTTTAAATTTTCAGACAGGTATTTCTGATTTTACTTGCGGCTAGAGAATCAGCAGCTTCTTTGCCTAAATTATAACCTACTCAAAAAAATTAATACTGAATTCATATATTAAATCTGTTTAATAAGTGTATCTACCAAAACGAAGTTGTGATTGCAATGTAACCAATCTCTTATTTACCTTAACATCCAACAAAATTCAAGCCTCCAAGTCCTTTCTTTTGAAACTCAATATTCAGCCTTTGCATACAAGAGTTCATCCTCAATCCTACCTGAATTACTAAGGTTGAATAAAATCTATCTCAGTGAATGTCGAAAGTTATAAATAATAAATTGCAATTCATCTAACCTCATGGCTAGCGCTCTGTCAAAAACAGAGTTTAATAACAATGGTGAGAGATAAAAAAAAATTAAAACTGGGAACTGCCACAATATCGCATGAAAATATAAGGATTAAAATCATGAATAAGCAAACAGAATGCAATGAAAAAATTAACACCTCAAGCTATAAAAGGCCTAATTACTAATCCATTCTATCAATTTTCTACCATGAACCAATAAGTATTTAATCAAACAAATACCAATACATGTTCATTTACATAAAAAAGCATCCCTTAACCATAAAAAAATTATCAGTTTTACTGAAGAAACACATAGAGCAACTAATAATGAATTTTTGGAAGGTAACCTGAAGAGCGTGCTGGATCCTTTGGCGGGCGCGTAAATTACGGACGATATGCTGGAGTTCGGCCCCCTTGACCTTCTTGCCTTCTTGAACCCACTGGTCAAGAACTGGGACTAAACTTAAATTTGGGTCACCAAGAGGACTAATTCTTGAATAAAGATTGTTTCTTTTGGCTGTGCTGTATGCTCTTATAAAGATGGGTGGGTTTATTGCCGAGAAGTTGAGAGCTTTCTTCAAGATTGTTGATGCCATTGGAGTTGAGAGGGAAATGTTTGAGAAAATTTCAGTTGAATTTTTGGTTTCAAGGGTTTTGAGTCTTTTGACTAGGGTTTTAGGTTAGCTATATTTTGAGGTTAAAGTAAAATTTTGTAAAAGAGACAATATGATATTTGCCTCCAAATTATTGATTATTTTAATTTTATTCTATAAATCTATTTTCTATTGTCTGAAAATATAATAACGTTTTTATTATATTTATCTAAAAATAATATTTTGAAACTGAGAAAATGAAAAATATATTTTGTCCTTTTAAGCTTTTGTAAGGGCCTTTCATTAAGCAGGCCAGTTGATTCCTGGTCTGGCCCAAATCAAGGCCCACATATCTAAGTTTTTATTCTATTCAAAAAAATCAGCAAATTAATTAAAACTTTTTCTTTATCTCTTTCACACACACACACACACACACATATATATATATATATTGGTTAATAAAACAACCATATATTAAAAAAAGAATTGTAAGGACTTCAATCATTATTCTCACTATATATTAAATTTTTTATTCATCATCTTGAATTGAATAACAGATATAGAATTTTCTCCCAGTTTTAGGAGTCATCTATTTATGAATTACAAAACAACATAGAACTGTTAAATAATTATGTCCAGAACTATAAATAAAAAAACAGCCAGTTCATGGACATGCTGATTAAACTAATTAATTACTCTATCTATAAAAATGTTAATTGGAGAACTGATTTTTGGAAGAATATGTCTGGCCAAATCTCCAAGACGAAGGCACGACATTGAAGAACTGAAGTGTTCTTCGATCGACCAAAGTGATTTTAAAAGAGAGTTTTTGGTTTCGAAGATCGACGCTTGTTGACCAGTTTGCTCCCCAGTTTCTCTGCATGGCCACCCACGTTCTTGACCTTGACCCTCGAACCCATGCAGCCTTCACGTCGCCGCTACCACCCACGTTTGAAACCATCACCAAGTTGAAGTTTGATTGCCCTCTCAATGTGAAGTGGACTCCCCCTCTCCTCCTGCATGCCACCCTTCAATTTCCAAACAAATTATCAATAACTTTCTTTCCAACCAAACAGTATAAACAGTTTAAATGATGCAAGAACCTTCTTATAGCCTATTAATTGCAACTGAAACAATCAATACCAAACACTGGTGTTTGGAGTCAACTCAGCCCACTTGTCCTAGAAAATTATTCTATTATTAACCATGTCCCTTCCATTTGTTTAATAAGGCTGATGGGAAACTGTACCTTCGATAGAGGACAGGGACGATGCCTTCATTGCCTTGTCGAGCAATGCGCAAGAAAGCAGGCATGGACATGTCAAAGTGTTGGCGAGGGGGATCGCACCATCCGCCGTTGTTATTCGGAGGGCAGAAGTTGGTGGTTGTTATGGTCACCGTCGCACGGCGCAGGCACCACTTTGGATCGGCCTTGAAGTCGCACATTAGATGGTAGCAAGCACCGCACGCCTCCCCGCCTCTGTAAAGTGCACCACTCACGGCTGCTGTGTTGATTCCGAAGCCGGCGTGGATGGTATTATCATAACCACAAGCTCCCCCTAATAAATATAGGCATAATGTAAACATAAAACATGTTCAATACGTCTACAATCAAGAATTAGTGAATAAAATTCAGGAAAATGAGTTTTGTAATTCTGTATTGTAAAGTGAGTTAAAAAAATGTGCCCATTTTAGACATCAACTATTCAAATCATAACCATATACTATTATTAATACATATGAGTCATGAGATTTTTAAAAGTTCAGAAGAACTCAAATCAAAAGAGAATCCTAATTCTGAGCAAGGCCAGAATCTTGTTCTATGTCGTTTCACAAAACCCTAAATAAGATCTAAAATAGTCTACCAAGAGTGGAGGGGCTCTGGTTGGCTCCATAGAAAGTTGCATGAGCATTAAGCCAACGACTGGCTTGACAATTAATGCCCTCAAACATAACACTCACGAAGAAGAAAAGGTGCCAAAGCAACACAGAAGGAACAACTACGGGACCCATTTCAACAGGCTTAATTTTTCTCTCTAAACAAACACCAAAAGTTGGAATATTTTTGCTGAATAAATTCCTCGATGACAAACAAAAGATAGCTAGATAACTAGATATTGAAATTCTTGAAGAGGAAGCTTGTGTTTTATAGAGTTATGGACGCGGTTGTCGGTGATTATATTCCGAATGAAGATTCATTAACGTTATCTTATAAAGAGAATATTGAAAAATTTAAAAATAAAAGCGCGTTTTTTCACGTCCTGTAAAGTACAGAAACTGAGTACGGTGAGGAGTGACAGCGGTGTTGTTGAGACAGTGATCATAGAGAGCAAGGGCATGTGATGGCTACTGTTGACGATGCTTCTAATAAGTCTTTAATTTGTCGGTGACTGATCATGTTTCTGTCCTATATAGATGAAACTTTTACATTGTCCATTGATAGCTGTATAATTTATTAAATAACGAAAAATGTTATGGTTATAAAATAATATCATTTAAAAGAAAAAACAAAGAAAAAATAGAAAAAGAGAATGAGAGAGAGAAATCATTGTCTTTGTATGTCCTATTTATATGTGTCTTTGTAAAACTAGCATTGCTTTTATAATTATTCGTTCTTATGTTGTATGTGACAAGAAAAATAGGATAAGACAATTGGGATTTCGCAAATTTATATGATATATATGTTGTGAAAGATGATCTTTCAAACGTATTATATATTGTGTCAAACCTATTATTTTACCACGCACCGATTGTTAAATACAAACTGAACTGTAAGGGATTAACCTGACGATTAAAAAAATTTGTTTTCTTTATTAACTTCTTAGGTTCGAATTACTTTGAGATCACCTACTATATTTGTGACTTCCTTAAAAACATTGAGTTTGTTGAGTATTCAATAAGGCCCGAGGATTGAGTTTGTTGGGTATTCAATGGATGTCGAGGATTAGTTGAGGTATACGCAAGTTGACTTAGACACTCTAATCATAAAAAAAGACTTACCTTAAACATTGAGCTTGTTTGATGTTCAATGAACCCAAAAGATTAGCTGAGGTACGCGCAAATTGATTCAAACACCCCTGTCATATAAAAAAAAAAAAAAAAAAATCTTGCTGTAAAAGAGAAACACAAGATGTGTATATAATGTAGGTATTTTTTATTAATAATAAAAATGATGGGTGGTTTTTAAAATGGATAATATATGTAGAATCTGTTATTGATAATGTATGTATTAAATTAGATATTTGTTTAACATAATTTAAACAACTGAAATCTGAGACATTAAGGCAAAGCACATGAATATCCGGGAATCAAGTTGTTTAAAATAATTTGAAGGTCTTCCATTTAAAGATGATGCAATGAATGAAAAGAGATTAATTACAAAGGAAGAAGCCGTGAAATTATCTGTTGAAAAATATTGCATATGTATGTGTAGCAGTAGCAGTTTGCAAGTGAAATTTTTAATTTAATTATTTTAAAAGCAGAGGAAGCTTCTTATATATGTGTGAAGAGGGTCCATTTTTGTTAGTTGGTTGTAGACATTTATTGTGTGTAAGTAAAGAAATTAAGTACCATTACTATTTAGGCACATGCTGCCGATAGAAAAACTCTAAATTCAAGACAAATGTTTATATATATATATATATATATATTATAATCGGTGATATATATATATAATAGGGCTCTAATACGATATTCCTCATTTTACTATATTCTGGACTAATAGCTCTCAGCCATTGGATTTATCATTTATCCAACGGTTGAGAGTACATAAATCAAACAATATATATAATAAAATTAAACAAATCTTATATCACTGACACATCGCCCATAATCCTCATGTCTCTCTTTCTATTTCATCTACTTCTCTGTTTTGTAATCTTAATTTAAGTACAATTTTATCTCTAACTAATAATTTTTTTGAACATGATTAGTTTATTACCCTTGTTCTGAAAAAACAATTTATCTAAAATACCCCAACAACCTTCTAGTCACCGTTGACCATCGTTGCAATCACCACCATCGTTGTCACTATCATCAGAAAATGGTCAGAGTTATCTCAAATGTAAACTGTTAAACTTTTATTATGGTTCGGGTTTTCTAGCAAAATCTCAAATGTAAGAGGTTAAAAAACAATTCAAATAATAATAATAATAAAGAAAGAAAAAACAATTAAGTAATCTATATAGCATATCCCTAGAATAAAAGTTTAAAAATTTAACAAAAAACCCTAACCACCCAAGTTACTATCGACCATCGGCCACCACCGCCAGTCGTCAGCGTACAACGGCTAGATCAGCGCATGGTCGGTTGAAAGCCAACAGCTAGTTGCTGTTAGTGGTAGCCAAATTCGACCTGATTAATTTTTTTTAAGTTTAAGGGTGTTTATGTCCTAAATTTTTTTGTAAAATAGTCCATTAATATTTTTGTAAATTGTTTACAAAACATTGACATTATTGTCCAAAAAATTTAATAATTAAGGATAAAATTGTAATAAAATTAATATTACTAAATAATCTTACAATACCTAAAAAAAAATGTGGTATTTAAATTACCACCTATATAATTGACAGTGATTACTATTAGTTTTAAAATATTGCCGAAATTTTTAATTACTTATCAACCAAACATGATAATGTAAGTAATATAAAATGACATTATATCAGTAATGAGGGATAACCTCCGTCCAAATAAACCCTAAATGTTATTTATATATAATAATTTTTTTATGAATCTATAAAATAATTTTATTTAAATTTTCAATTTCTTTTTGTCCGAAGACTTGTCTGGGCTAGTCCTCTCATAAATATGCCCCTCGGGATAAAGTCTAATAAATCAATAGTTGACAACTTGTTGAGAGTCTGGGAAACTCAAATAAGTCCAGGGACAATGGAAATTCTCTATCCGAATAAAGACTCATCTTCTTCAACACTTGAGCATTTGCTAAGAAGAATCTCACCAGCTCAACCTGGTTCTTGCTTCCACGAAAATGTTCCATTCTAATGCATTCCAAATGTCGAGCATACTCTCCTCGCTTCAGTTCTCTGTTACATCTTGAAACTAAACTTCTGAATTTGTAATTGAAAAATCTTATCCCAAGGGATTCGAGAATAGGAGAGCGATCCAGCAGACAACTCAACACCCCTATATCACCATCCTTAATACTAACAGTAAGCTGCAAACGCTTGAGATTGCAAAAAGTTGGCAAATAATCCAGTAAATTTCCTCCGCAATATTGCAAAAGCTGCAAGAGAAAAATTACTGTAAGAGTAAGTTTATGCTAGAAATTGTAACAAGAGTTCGCAGAATTATCCCGCAAAGATGATTTCAGAATATGAAAACATACCTGAATACATGCGTTTGATAGGTACAGAACATTGGCATTAGAAAGCGTTTTGATGAATTTACTAGCGCAGAAACCAGTTTCCTCCTCTTTGCCGGGATGTTTTCCTAACACGATAGTTGCTTTATTTAAATTGGGAAAAGTCCCTGAACAATGAGAATCATCTGCAACTACATCTTCTCGAACAGTAAGTGAACTTGGAGAAGAAGAATTATCAATGTCGATTCTACAATGCATGAAGTATATTTCTTCAAGATTTTTGCTGTTGAGCAGTTGATCACTGAAGTTCTTGCCAAAGTGCACATCACAGAAATCAATGATCTTCATATTTGGGAAACAAAAGTTATCAGGAAAGCGAACGACATATCCGATGTTCAGTCTGAGTGTTACCAAAGACTTGCAATTGAATAAAGAAGAGGGTAAGCCATCACCGATGGCTTTGTATTTAGAGCAGAGTTGAAGCTCATGAACTCTTGCCGTAAATGCAGCACTAATCCAGGTCTCCAAATCACAACTTCTGCACGCAAATCCGCATAGAAGTCGAAGTCTAATTATACTGATTGAATTGCCACGGTGGAGCAGAAATTTATCCACGAAGTTGGTAAAGCTTTTCTCATTAGTAAAATCGGATTCATCAAAGTCAAGATGAGGAAGTGGTTTCCATAAGTCTTGCAAACTCTTTGAGAGAAGGGTTGTTTGAAGAACATCTTTTGCGGGAAGAAAAGAGAAGATTTTGTATAAAATTGAGTCGTGGAGACAACTTATTCTATCGATTTCCATGCTCTTCAGAGAGTAAAAATCAAGATAAAAAGAAGACTTGGGTCAACCGCTATTTAAAGTTTCGTATTTTTTGAGTAATAAGAGATCTCCTTATGTAATTTGGAATTCTATTAGTATTCCAGTTAACTTTGGGCTCCTTTTTATATTTGGAATTTTGGATTAACTTGGGTTTACCCGCTATATAAAGTTCTCCCTTTCAGATCAGGATCACCCATTTTCGAAAATTTTATGTAATGAAGCATGTTTCGATAATCAACCCTTCCAGTTCAGAGAGTAATGTCAAGAATGCTAAACGGAGAGAAGCAAAAATTAGAGAAACAATAATTTACAATGAAGAATATGACATTATCTACACGTGAAATATAGCAGAGTTTTCTCACAAAAGTTTCGGACTCGACTTTGGAACTTCTAGCAACATTTGTATCCCTGTACAGTAGTTAATCACGCAATCTCATAGTTTTAGTATGAAAAGCATTAAAGCTAAGAGATTATATGATTAGAACAAAAGAAGACACAGAATTAAGCAACAAAAAAGAAAGATTGATACTCTGTTAAGGGACTTGTCAATCTCCACTTCCTGCCTCCTGATTCTACGGTTGCTACTTGTCATTAGAGGATGTGAAGATGGATACGCGGACAAACTCGTGACTGAACTCCCAAAAATCCTCTCTAATACCATCCCTCCAAACATTCCCATCAGTGGGTTAACAAAGCTAATTGTTGCCATACCACTGAGACTAGACGTTGCAATGGCTGCATAACCACCGTAGTGGTGAGGAAAGTACTGTGGGTTATGTAATGACTGCGTTCGCGACTGAAAGAGATCTGAATGTAGTTGTGGAGTTCGATGTGTGGTGGATGTTGTAGTGGAAGTAATTGAAGTGTTCAACATAGGAGGCGGTCTACTGGGCACAGCCACACCCAAACTATGCTTCTTGGATTCGGATTCAGAAGAGGATGTTCCATGGCAATAGAGAGGAACCAATGAAGTAAGAGAAATGTTAGCCTTACAGACGGGGCAATTCTGCTGCGGTTTGTCAGCATCTTGAGAGGATGTTTGGACATGAAGCCACTCGTAAATGCAAGCCCAACAATATAGATGACCACAGAGGGTAACTACAGGATCACGTGCAGAGTCTATGCAAATATTGCATTCAAAACAGCTGCTTTTGTTTTCAGAGACCCCTGTAGATGCGGAGATGGAACTCAATTTCTGCTTGAGCAAATGATCTCGATCAGTTTCATAGTGAGCCTCCAGCTCAAATAAGTTCTGTTCCCTAGCCATGTAATCTGTGACAAAAATGAAATTTTCTTAGAAAGTACACACGGAAATAGACATAAGGACTAATAATATGAAAATGCATGCAGTAGACATAAACCTAAAAAGTCGAAGGCATGTGCATTGTGATACATATTCTACTGATCAATAAACAACAGGAGCAAATCATTCACTATCTACACAAATAGACAACACATGCATAATGGCCCATTAAGAAAATAAGAAATGCCTTTTTTATGTTCAAGGTCGACCACCAAATAGTCATCCTCCTGAACAAAGTACTAATCATTTGATTCCCTAAGCATCTTGACAAGCAAAAGAGAATGGAAACAAAGATGGTAAGGTTCAAAATTATATTAAATGGAAGTGATCATATTAAAGTACTGAAGACTCCACATTAGCTAAAGCAAAAATCGTTCAACTACACAATTACATAAAAGAGCAAAGAACTAGGCCTATCATCTTCATCCACACCAAAAATAAAAAAGTGAAAAAGATGATGACTGAAAAGCCAGCAGCATGATTCAAGATGGGCCCTTAAAGCCATCTGCATTTAGCTTTATCCAGCACCTGTAATATCAGAGGACCACTTGGGCACAAAGAAAGAAATATAATAGCTAACTGGGAATCCATTCTCGTGCCCTCTTCAAGTAGAAACTTTCACACAAAACATCTTAGAGCTAAAAAAGAAATTATCAAAATTGCAAACAGCATTCTTTCCTTAGTATTTTTCTCAAACACAAGGAAAATAAAATTAAACAAAATTTAAAAAAAATAATAAATAAATAGGATATTTCATTCACATAGAACATAAACTCAATCTCAATGAGTAGGGAGATTGAAGAATTTATAATCAAAACAAACTCTCCTAAATTGCATAAACTTGTATATGTTGGTCAAAAAAGAGGGGCTAAAACAGTTCAATCCTCCAACAATCTGATGAGAAAGCAATTATCTTTTTTCTTCTCTAATGATAAAAAAGAAATTATACATAACCAAGAAGACACTGATGTTGAGATCTAAAATTTCTAATTCCTTCTATGTTTTCTCAGAAACCAAACAAAGGGCATCAAAATCACGCAAAAAAGTCTTTCAATTTAAAATCGATCATATCATTCAATCAGCTTCCATCAAAAAACACACATCCAACTTCACTGAAGCTTCTAATCAAAACAGTTTCATCCACAAAATCATAATTTCTAGGGGGGGAAAAAAAAAAAAAAAACTCACCCACTCTTCAACAAACCAACACCGAAACCCAACAAGAAACAACTGAACCCAAAACTTTACAACCCAAAACTAAAAACAAAGCAATACCCAGAATCGTAAACACAGAAACGAGAACATACCGATACAGAAAAGGCTGAAACAAGTCAAAGCTACAAAGGAATGATACAAAGATAGAAAGTGAAGCTTCAAATTAGAAAGCGAAGCAAAGATAGATAAAAAGGGGCGTTGAAAGAAACGGCCGAGAGGGAATTGAGGAGATAATGAAACGAAACAATGTGTTAATACAAGTGGTTGTGTAATGAAAAGTGAAAAGTGAAGATAAACTGTTGGCTTGCAGAGGAGAGTCGTCGCAGAATATATAACAGCAGCTACAAGATGCGGTATTGGTTGGTATAAAAAAATAAAAAATAAAATAATAAAGTGGTAAGACTAAGGCCGCGTTTGGCGTGTATATATTTTATTGGGGATATTTTTGTTTTATTTTATTTTTTTTACTTTTAATGTGATTTGTGATTTACACGTGTGAATGATATTATTTTTTTCATCAGAACTTTCCATTTAAGAAGTTTCTAGTCGAATGGGATTAGTGTTTTATTTGATGGGTTTAATTTAATTAATTGATAATATTCAAAATTTCAAATAATTTATAATCTTTAATATTTATCAGTTAACTGTTCAAGAACAGTGTACATTAGTTGAGTTTAGATATTAATTTAAATTTATCAAAAAAATACCTTAAATAAGTTTATATTAATTTAACTGGATTAGGCTTTATCTAAATAAATTTTTACTTAAAATGATGAGATAAATTTGGAACCTTTTTATTATTTTGAATGGGTGGTTACCATAGTTATTTATGTGTTATCTCCTCACTTTTGATTTTTTTTTGGTAACTGGGATGTCCGAGTCAGTTTATGTACACCTCAACTAATCTTCAGAATCTATTAAACACCTGACAATCCCTAAGAACCAGATAAGTCATGATGTTATTATAATAAATAATCCCAAGGTTTGAGCCCAAAAACTCAAGAAAGATGAGCAAATCTCCTTAACCGTCAGACCAACCTCTTTTGATTAAAAACCATAAACTAATCAAGTTGCACATCTAGGGAATCGAATCCCGATCAGTAACACCAGATGTCTTGACTACTTTTGAAGGTTTCATTATGATTTAAGAACGGTTATTAATTAATATTTCAAATTAAATAAAAAAATTGGAATTACTATAATTCAACAATCTAGCCTGATTTAACTATCAGTTATTTTAAAAACAGTTTTCAAAAAATCAATCATTGGAATTACATAGTTATAAAAATTGTTGAATTAGATAATATTTATTCATTGTTAATATTTAATAAACTATGATAAGGATTTATTTTAAATTTTAGATTTTTTGAAAATATAGTTTTAATTTTTTTTATTAATTATTAGAAAAATTGAGAGAATATTTGAAAATGAAATTGATACTTGAGGAAACTACTAGAGCATTTCGTGTTACTTAATATTATTTTCAATGTTTTTTATGTGAGTGATGCTATGGGTACTAACGGATGGGTACTAATCTGTGTACTAACTAAAGCATAATACACGTACCATGCGTATAGTATCTGTACTATGTTTTAGTTAGTGCACAGATTAATACCCATCCGTTAGTAACCAAAGTATTATTCTTTTTATGTTCCACGCTAGTCAGTTATGTTGACTCATAATTAATTAATTTATTAAAACAAATCCTCTAGAAATTAAAGTATTTTAAATATGAATTAGCTAAACATAAATCAAATATTGATCGTGATTTGTGACCATCCAAAGTATGTGGCACGCCTCAACCTTTCTAATTCTTTCACCATCCATCTATGCCACCACTAGTGACATATCTTTTTTTTTTTTTTCTTTTTTTTTTTACTAAAAGTATTCGAACTAGTTTATACGCACTTTAATTAATCCTCCGAGACCCTAAAACTATTGGTCGGATAAGAATTTCAATATTATTTAGTTTTATAATTAATATAGTTTTTAATTTTAACAGTTTATCTTCCTTAAATTTACAATTTTGCTAAGTAAAATTTGTATACTTTCTTTACCCTCGTTTATTTGTTAAATATTACACTTTGACCCTCAACACGGTTTAATTTAATTAATGGATTATTTGACCATCCATCTATGCCACCACTAGTGACATTTTTTTTTTTTTTTTTTTTTTTTTTATTGACTAGAGATGTTCGAACCAATTTATATGTACTTTAACTAATCTTTTAAGACCTTAAAATTATCTGTCGGATAAGAATTCTAGTATTATTTAGTTTTATGATTAATATAGTTTTCAATTTTAACAGTTTATCTTCCTTAAATTTACAATTTTACTAAGTATATTTTTATATACATTTACTTTAGGCTCATTTATTTGTTAAATATTACACTTTGACCCTCAACACAGTTTCCGGGTTCCGCCGTGCCATAGGTGTTTGTAAGCAACAAAAGCATGTTGTCGCGGTGCAGATAAGAATGGTATGCCCTATATACGTGGCATTATTTTTATAATATGATGAAGATCGTGAGGATCGTGAGGGTTGACTAAGAAAGTTTGGACAATCTGACGATGGCCCACCGACAATGTTGACCTCTCTAGAATTTTCTCCACTTTTTAATACTTGTATTGAATCAAACTGAGTGTCAAATTACGACAATCTCCCATTTTTTTTTTATTCTCTTTCTTAATAATTCAATCACTTTTATATACAAAATATGAAAAGGGAGATTATGAATTGTTAATTTTATTTTTTATACACGTATAAAAAAAATTAAAAACAAAGAACTTTTTGAAAGAACTTAGATGAGTTGTTATTATTATTACTTTTTTTTTTTTTTTTTTTGATAATCAGAGTGTTCAAACGGGTTTACACGTATTTTAACTAATCATTGAGGTTCATTGAACACTCTATAAACCTAAATAATCAGGTAAATCACAACGTGGTAGATATCTCAAAAGTTCGAATACAAAAACTCAATAAAGAGAGTAAATTTCCTTAACGGCCGTTCGGCCAAGCCCTTGAGGCTAGATGAGTTGTTATTTTATCAATATTAGAGGATTTAATTTTTTATTAGTAGTATGTTAATTGTTTTTGGTATTAAAAAGGTTTTCAGAAAATTAAAATGTTTTTGTTTTAATTATCTGACATATATTTTGTTAGCTACCAAAACATTTGTCTCCTAATTGTTCTTAATATTCCTTTGTTGCTAATTCTTATTATTCGCTTTGTAAAGTGTATTTCAATACTCATTAGAGATATTTAATTTAATAGTGATATTTAAGTAAAAATAAAATAAAATCCAAAAAGGGCATGATTTTTATCATTTCCTAATGTTAGCACAATTACGGTTTATAGGTCTACTAATAATTCATGAAATGCTATGTTTTCAAAAATTAAAATTTAATCAAATCAGAATTTATTTAATTCATCAAGTAGGGTTTAATTTATTTTAGTCATTTAAGAAGTGAAAACACGAAATAAGATCAAATTAAAATTAGAAGAGTTGAGTTCATTATTTATTGGCTATTATTACACTTATAATTCAATTTCATAAATTTTCTCTAATAACGTTGATGTGATAACTCGTAATTGATTTTTAATGAATTTTTTTGTCACACCAGTTACAAACTGACCAATTATGATATATCATGTTGACGTTATAAAAAAAAATTTGTAAGATTAGATTATAAATATAGTATTATTTTATAAATAATAATCACAACTCTTCTTATTTTAGTTTAATCTTATCTTTTACGTGTTTCCACATCTTAAATGACTAAAATACAATATGGATATGTTATTTGACAATTTTGGTACTAAATTAGAAAAAATAATAATAAAAATCAAAATGTTTAGAAAAAATAGTAATAAAATTAAAACCTAAAAGCGCTTTAGAATTTTAGTAAAACAAAACAAGATTAAAGTCTATTGGGAAAGGGTGGGGGCGTCCATGTCTGATGTCTCAGTCTCCATAATCATTGAAGCTACCAAAAGAAATTGTTTCTTGAACTATAAAAATGGTAAAGAGGATAGGGATGACATGGCACATATTCGAGCTTATCCCAACTCTAAATTTTCAACCTAAGATTCGACACAATAAAGTGTACAAATCATTAATTAGTAAGTTTTACCATCATATATTGACTCTGGTAACGTACAATTTTAGCACTTTTTTTTTTCTACGGCGTAGAGATTTTGACCTACTTACGTGCTCTTTAATTAAGTTTTTAAAATCTTAAAACTATCAGTCTGAATAAAAATCCCAGTGAAACCTTTATTAATACTCGAATTCAAAATCTCTTAAATAATATATCTAAAAGTTCATATCGAATGACCCGATCACTCAAATATAATTACAATTTTATCATTATTGGTTCAATATTTTCTTTTTTCATTAATCTTTGGCCAGCAAAACCAATATCTTCTACCGATAGGCAAAATATCATACAACTTATCAAACAATAATATTATTTATCCCAACATTCTCATCCCAAGTAATGTGTGATCCTATGTGGTGTTAAATGCAAATGAATTAGTTATTTCATAAAGAGTAAACGACATTTTCTCACCCAAGGTTTGGCGAAGCTGCAAGTTCTCACCCTTGGTTTCATAAATTATAGATTCCCTCCCTTAAATTAATACCGTTACTTTTCTCTCAAAATAACTCCCACATCTCAAATTTCTCTCAAATAACCCTAGAGGAGATCCTGGCTAAGCCAAAAACCTGGCCTGATTCTGATTCCATTGGACCTCCCCGACACCACTATCAACATCCCCTTATCCTTCTCACCAAAACCCTTAACTTTTCCACCTGATCGCACCTCGACAAGGTGCCGAAATTTGGCTGGAAATGGGTGACAAAAGGAGAAAACCTAAGGGAGAGGCGGCGACGATCGGCAGGCAATTGTAGTCGGCGATGTTGGGGGTTTTGGTGGGGGGAAGCCGATGATGCTATTAGTGGTCTTAGGGGTGGTTTTCGGTGCCGAGACCTGTCAGAATTTGGATGAAACCCCGATTGACACTAAAACCGATGGCTGGCGATTGAGGGGGTTCAATTAGGCGGGGAGGTTAGGGGTTTTCATATAGGGGTTGAGGAGATTGTAATGGTGGTGTCAGGAGAGGTTGATTGTGTCAGAAATAAACTGGAATGGCCTGAAATCGCCGGTGGGATGAATTTGAGAAGTGAAGGGTTATTTTGAAATTTTTTTGGTGGGATGAATTTGACAAGTGAAGGGTTGTTTTGAAATTTTCATCCTTGAAATGACCAATTTACCCTTTTAATTGTTAGATTAAACAGTTTTATGTTAATTTAAGGGTGAAAATCTATAATTTATGAAAGTAGGGGTGGGAACTGTAACGAATCCCACGTCGAAAGCGTATTAGACTCTTGGCCTTATAAAAGGAGAAAATCTCTCAACCTAATAGGTTAGTCTTTTAGATGTGAAACTCCTGATCGAAACATTAAAAACCTCAATTGAATCCCACCCTTCCTTTGATTATATCTGCAATTGTTTGAATCTGTAAAAAATAAGAAAATCTTTTTTATTACATTTCTTGTTAATTTTTCTTTTAGCCATGGAACTCCATGTAAAATATGTAAACAATGCCAATGTTCATAGAAATAAACCCTTGAAGCTGTCGTTTAAAAGAAGCCTATAAAAATATGAACAGAACAAGTCCATGACTAATAAAAACTATAAAGCACTGGATGCTCCTCCCAAGCGAACTAATTAGCTATCATCAATTTCCCATGAAAGTCTTTTGACTATGGTCCTCCCTAGTACATCACCACAACACAACGAAAACAAATTTCAACAGAGGAAATTATCATTGACAATAAATAAATAAAATTCTATTGTTCTCCTGCCCGTCTTCTTCATTCCCATTTAACAAACAAAATTGCAAATTATCTAAATCATCCAACATATCCTAAGTGAATTCACCTCAATCCTAATAATTTTTAAGAAATTAAGCAGCCAAAGGAGAAAAAAGGATTGCAAAATTATGTTTAACGTTAACAGAGGAAGTGGGCTGCAAGGGATGAGGACTCCCAACAACAAAAGAACAAAAAAAATGATTCTCTTTAATTTAACCAACCCCCTCCGCATTTCTCTCTCACATACACAGAAGTAGAAGAAATAATTAGAGCAGAGATTCTACCACATTTGGCACATATAAGACAGTTCCTAAAACAGCTTTATTTCAGTTTAGCTAAATGTTGCTCACCGTATAAGCAGAGATGACAATTAAGTCCAAATTAACCCTTTTACATACTCAGAGGTCCAAACTCCCAATCACAACTAACCAAGATCTTCAACAGGAAGCAAACATAAATAAGCCAAGCGAGAGCAATCATCCATGTAGATGAGAAGAAACTTCCAAGAGAGACAATCATATAATATAAGTAAGAAAATATATAAGCAACTAACTTTACTAAGAAATCAAAACATACAGTTGCATCTAATGACTATACAGGTGCAGATAGAACTTTATTGTCAGAGCAAAGTATCTCATCTCAGGGCACTGGAAGCTACAACCCAAAACAAACAAATGCCACAAAGCGAGAATTTCCAGCAAAGGTGCTCTTTCCTTATCATGTCTATAAGAATTTCTCTATGCTGGTGGTTAAAGTGGATTTAGGAACAGCACCGATGACTGTGTCTTTCTTATCCCCATTCCTGAATATAATAACAGTTGGGATGCTCCGAATCCCATATCGAGTAGCAATTGAAGGGCTCTCATCAGTATTCACTTTGTAGCATTTAAGCTTCCCGGCATACTGTTTGGAGAGCTCATTAATTACTGGGTGGATCATCCGGCAGGGTCCACACCACGGAGCCCAGAATTCAACCAAAACCGGGAGTTCAGATTCCAGTACAAGTGATTGCCATGTTGAATCAGAGACTGCAGGCACTGTAAGTTTCAAGAAAAACAATACATTAACTTGTTTTTATTAGTAATATTCTTCTCACAATGTTGTAAAGTTGCTTTAACTAAATGATAAATAAATAAAATCAAGAAACACATGATGATAATGATGATTGTAAGCTAATACTGCACTTGATAAACGCTTTTTGGATCTTAAAAGCTCTTTCTAGGTAAGAAGCATTCAAGGGCTTTTACAGAAAGCGCTTTTACAAAATCCTCTCTATCTTCCATCATCATTCACAGACAAACAATTATTAGCGAGTTACGTTTCTAATTAACTATTTTGGATATTATGATCCAAAACAAGCACACAAAAAGTAGAAAATTTTCCACTTTTCAATTTTAAGAAAACACAAACATATTCCGGAGAAGATAAATAATTCAACCGATACTTAACAACTAAAATCTGAAAAGATAAATAATTAAACTGATAATAAAAAATAAGCACGATCCTGACCGTCAACGGCCGTTTCTTGAGCCTCGCAAACGATTCGTCCACCGCGGCCAAGTTTCAAGCTCGAACTCTGACGATGACTCACCGATCCAAACGAGCGAGTAGGAACCACTTTAAGGCCTTTGAATTGCAGCAATCTCCGCCGAGCAGAGATCGAAGAAACCGAAGAAGACGAAAGTTTGGCCGGCGAAAAAGCCGGAGAAGCCGAAGCACGTGGAACGCTGACGCACTCGAGCACGGCCGCCATCGGAGGAGATGATCGGAGGTCTGATTAACAGGAGATATGAAGAGATTTTTCTTTTTCTCTCTTTTCGGTGTTGTGTGTGTGGTTGCTGTTTGGAGTTTATTTGGATTTTAGTTGAGGAGTGTGTTTGTGGATGATGTTGAAACTTTCTCCGGTGGATGTTCTGCAGTTTGGACAAGTGGCGAATAAGGATTTGCCACGTTTGCCTCAGTGTTTAATTATTGAGAACATTTATCGAGAATAATTCCGTTATTGAAGGTTGCCTTATTATTTTTATCCATATTTTTAATCCTATTCTTTAATATTGTTTAATACGTTATTGTCAAAGTATTAATCTATTTTTTAATTATTTTTAGATCCCATAAATTTATTAATTTTATTAAATACCCTTAAAAAAAATAGTTTAAAAACTAATAGAAACATCCTGACCCATAATACTTGCCAGATTCTGACAACCACCATCGGTGGTAGCCAGAATCTATCACAACAGTCATACGACCACCGGAAATAGTCGGTAATGGCTAGATCTGGCTGTGGCTGATGGCCAAAATTGGGGTGGATATGGTTGAAAAAGGCCTTAGATCTGATTTTTTCTGGTCAGATCTGTGGTGGATATGGTTGAAAAAGGCCATATCGATCGAATGCTCGTCAGATCCGACTGGATTTTGTGGTTATCTAATTTTTTGGCCAGATTCCGACGGTGGTGGCCGGAATCTGACACTTTGGGTGTTAGGGGTGTTTTTATCATTTTACAATATTTTAATATATTGGGGTGTTTATTAAATTAGCAAACCTTGGGGGCTTTTTTATAAATTTTTAAATTTTATCTCGTAATACTTCCCTATCCAACTATCCAATATTATCCCCAAAATCTTACCAAAAATAATAAACCAAACGTACCCTATTATTATTGATGTCATAAATATTTTTATAATTTGTAATATTTGTTTGAGATTGCAATGCAAGCTTGTTTTCAGCCAAGGTTTCGCGAATCTTCCATAAATAAAATTGAGGTTGAGAATTAGGATTTATGAAATTGAGGGTGGTAACCTTGAGTCTGGCTAAATCTTGGGTGGGAACATATGTTAGAATTTTTAATTTAATTAAAATTCTAATTACCCATATTTATATTTTGGTCCAAAACCTTTATTTGTAATTTCACAAGATTTTTTAAACTATAGCAGTTATCCCTTGGCAGTTGTCTTTAATGGAAAGACTACTGCATAAAAGGGAGCAGTTACAACTTACAGGTCCGCAATTCAAGCAATTTATTTTATCCTAAAACCATCGTACTAGAAAATCACATTGAATTGGAAGAACCTACTGACTTTGAAAAGATAAAATTGTGAAGACCAAGAGACTATCTATAACAATTTGTTATGGGGAAAGGTTAGTAGTATTGATTTGCTTCAGCTGTCTTTATAATTACTTATGAACATGTATATGAATTGAGATTTTGTAATTGTATACATGTTGATTGTATGAATTGAAATCTTACATTTGGTATCAGAGCAAATTTATAATCTCTGCCAAACATGGTTGTTGTGGTATTTAGAATATATAAATTTAGCACTATAAAGTATGGTTTTGAGTGCTATTTAATTCTTCATATTTGATGGATTTTGCAATTGATGAATATAAATTGAAATTGATATGGTTCATGTGTGTGGAGACCATCAGTTCACGCCAAATTTTCAACCCATGAGTTGTCGGAAATTTGGCCAAGATCAGCCTTTACAGCCATGAAAATGGCGGCTGGAATTTGCAAAGAACGGGCTAATTTTCTGGGTTTTACCAACCCAAAACCCGGTCCATTAAAGTTAGTCCAATTCTATTATATTGAGAAATAAAGTGCAAGCCCAATTGATCAATTAAAATGTGTAAGTCGAATTTATTTAAATTGGTTAGTCCATCTCTCTTTTTTTTTTGGTAAGTATTTATAAGAAAAGGAAAGAATTTACAAGAGGCCATATAAAAAAAGGCCAACCTACCATAGGACAAACCCTAGGTTAGGCTCAAAAGAATCAAATAATCACTAAGACTACTAACAAAAAACTAAACTAGGCACCTAAAGCCAAAAGCAAAACAAAGCACCAACACAAAACCAAACAATGAAAGCACGCCTTAACCAAGGCTACCTAGCAATAGTCACTCCTCTTGTTTTACAATCTCAGGACATGACTTTAGTTAGAAACAATGCTTAGCAAAACAAAAGAAGACACAAGGAAACTCAAAAGAAGAACCCAAAACAACTTAATCTTCATCCAAGGCATCAGTCGACCAGAGCGGGAACAAAGGAAGAGGACTTGAAGACAGCCTTAAGGAGGCCCCATGAGTCCGTCAAAGTCTTATTAGTAAAGGAGGCCTTGAAGATTTTAAAGTCCATAGCTCTTTTTCTCACAATGCATTTGATCGAATCAATAATAGAACATATATCCTTACACTCTCCCCCAAACATCCTACTATTTCTCTCCCTCCAAACCCAATACACTGTAGCTCCCAAACAAAGCTTAACAATAGCATAACTGAGCTTTTTTCCTTTCCATCTTCTAGCAAGATATAAAGTATAATCATGCCAAGGTCTTACTAAATGCCCCAAATGAGCTAACTCAAGAATACTACACCATAAGGATATAGTGAATGGACAAGCAAAGAAAAGATGATATAAGGATTCTTGTCCCATATTACAAAAACAACAATTAGCATTAGAAGTAACACCATTCCTCATTAGCCTATCCTTAGTGGGAAGTCTTCCTTTTATAGCCATCCAAATAATCATAGCATGCCGAGGAATAAAATTGGTTAGTCCATCTCCTTAAGCCCAATTTCTTTAAATTGGTCAATCCAACCCTTTAAGAGTCAAATTGGATCAAACAACTAAATGGGTCAAAGCCGACTCGGACCAAGATTAAGTTGGGCCGACATGACCCAACCCGAAACTGAATCGGGTTAACCTGACCTGAGATCGGACCGAGTCAACCGACCCAATTAGAGTTGGTGGTCAAAGTCAACGATCAGCGATCAACTGTTAAACGTAATGGTCAACAATCAAAGTTAACGGTCAACTATTAAATGTAATAGTCAACTGTCAAAGTTAACCCGATTTTGACCTTGGTGCGTGAGTGGGGTGAGGTGGTTCATGTGGGTGCGTGAGTGGGTTTTTAGAGGCGCGTGACAGATCGTATGAGGTTGTCATGGCAAGTGTGGGTCTTTTTATGCATGAATAATGAACTATTCTTGTTTTAATTTATATTATTTTGTGTTATGTGCAATAATAGATTATGTCATTTTGTGATGTCCTATGATCATATATATATGATTAATTTAAAGTGGCCACAATATCTAGTTATGATAATATATGCATTAAGTAATACTAATTATGATCATATTAAAGTTAATGACATCGTTTTGTAATTAATCATGTTAATATAATCATTTTACCCACACGGAATGTTATATTTTCATGATTAATTAGGATGAAATAGAAATTATTTTTATTTCTTAATTAGCCCACAGGTATTATGAAATATTAATAATTTTTAGTTTCATTATTAAAAGATAATGCATCATAATATGTAATGTCTTTACCCACAGGGAAATTTTATGATATGTTGATTCATTTAAAATTAGTTATTTGTTTTACATTGGTAAACTTATAATTTTTGTTGATGGTTTGTACCTCATAATTTATTTAGTAAGCATATCTATTGATATACATACAGTTGATCAAAATTTGATGATGGTTGAGGACAAAGTTCCTTATTTAAGTGGTGACAACTACAAAAAGTGGAGGGAGGTTGTCCTTCTTCATTTATGGTGCATTGATCTTGACAATGCTCTTCGTAAGGAAGAGCCACCTACACCTATAGATACTAGCACTCAGGCTGAGATTGCTTTGTATGAACGGTGGGAGCAATCCAACCGTTTAAGCATGATGTTTATCAAATCTCACATTATGAGTAGTATTTGTGGGTCGATACTGGAGTGTGAGAGTGTCAAGGATCTGATGGATGCTATTTATGCTCAGTCTGAAACATCAGATAAGGCATTAGGCAACACCCTTATGAATAGACTAACATCCATGAAGCTCACCAGTATTAAAGGAGTTCATGAGCACATAATGATAATGAGGGACATTGTTGCTCAATTGAGACCTCTTTAGATGGTGATTAATGATGATTTCCTAATGCATTATGTCATGAACTCTCTCTCATCTCATTATACTCCTTTCAAGATATCCTAGAACATACAAAAGGCTAGATGGTCAATCAATGAGCTTTTAACCATGTGTCCTCAAGAGGAGGAGAGATTGCTTTAGGAAGTTAGTGAAACTACACATCTAGTGACAGGAAATGTCAAGTACACTTCAAGCAAGAAAAAGAAGTGAAAGGGAAAAGGCAAGTTACATGAGGTTGCGAGCAAAGGAAATAAGGATAACACCAAGTGTTTCTTATATGAAAAGAAGGGACACATGAAGAAAGATTGTCTTAAAAGAAAGACCTGACTTGACAAGAAATATAACTTCACATCTATTGTGTGTTATGAATCTAATATGATTTGTGTTTCTCATAATGATTGGTGGATTGATTCTGGTTTTACAATTCATGTTTCTAATACCATACAGGGTTTTCTAGATCAAAGGAAATCAATGGGAAGTGAATGCAGCATCTATTCAGAAAACAAGATGCCTTCACGTGTTAAAGCTGTTGGAACATTTAGACTTATTTTAAGTACTAATTTTATTTTGGATTTGGAATGAAACTTTTATATTCCTAGTTTTTCTAAGAATTTAATTTCAGTTTCTAAACCTGTAACTTGTGGATACCCTTTCAACTTTTATGGTAGTTCTTTTAATTTAATTAAGAACTCATCTATTGTTGGAAATGATACTATGGTTGATGGTTTGTTTAAAATTCATTTAAGTGATACCGTTCCTTATAGTTTAATGACTTCACATGCTAGTACTAGTATTAAACGTACTGCTATGAGTGAAAACTCTTTTTTTCTGTGGCATGGGAGATTAGGACACATTTCTATTGATAGGATTAAAAGGTTTGTAAATGCTAGAGTTTTTGAAATTTTTTACTTTACTGACTTTGATACTTGTATAGTCT